GAATGTTTGCAAGCAAAAGTGGTTAACCTTAAGAAAAAAAATGAATTTTATTTGCTTGTGACTCCGAAAGAGCATTACGTAACATTATCTCTAATAACCTTCAACTTATACGTTCGTGGTTTTGCAACGATATTACTCCGTACCATCGTAAGATAATTTTAGGTAGACAATCGATGGTTTTGTGATTCCAAGAGACTGTAGGGTCGATGTACATGCAATTGGTTTCTGCAGGAATGGATTTAGGACACGAGAAGATGGTAATGTCCTTAAATGAAAATAATAAAAATGTGCACTGGGAGAAGTTTTTGGATTTTTTCTGGTATATTTGGACCAAAATCGGTCTGAAAAATGACAAGCATGGATGCTTCTGGATTCTTTGTATATATTCAGACCAAAACCGGTCCGTATATATATTCATACTTAATTTAATTTAGCTTTTAGGATTAAAAATCCCTCGGAGTGCCTATATTCGGACCGATACCGATCCGTATATATGTATATGGACCAGTATCGGTCTGTACATGCCCCTGAACAATAGCTTTTTATTTGTTTTTTGTTATTTCATGTTTAAGTCGTTCTACTCTTGTTTTAAACCATAACATTCTGAATGTTTGCAAGCCAAAGTGGTTAACCTCAAGAAAAAAAAATGAATTTTATTTGCTTGTGACTTCGAAAGAGCATTACGTAACATTATCTCTAATAACCTTCAACTTATACATTCGTGGTTTTGCAACGATATTATTCAGTACCATTATAAGATAATTTTAGGTAGACAATCGATGCTTTTGTGGTTCTAAGGGATTGTAGGGTTGATGTACATGCAATTAGTTTCGCAGGAATGGAATTAGGACACGAGAAGATGGTAATGTCCTTAAATGAAAAGAATAAAAATGTGCATTGGGAAAAGTTTCTGGATTTTTTCTGGTATATTCGGACTAAAATCGGTCTGAAAAATGACAAGCATGGAAGCTTCTGGATTCTTTGCATATATTCAACCCAAAACCGGTCCGTATATATATTCATACTTAATTTAATTTAGCTTTAGGATTAAAAATCCCTCGGAGTGCCTATATTCGGACCGATATCGGTCCGTATATATCTATATGAACCGGTATCGGTCCGTATATGCCCCTGAACAACAGCTTTTTATTTTTTTTTTGTTATTTCATGCTTAAGTCGTTCTACTTTCGTTTTAAACCGTAACATTCCAAATGTTTGCAAGCCAAAGTGGTTAACCTTAAGAAAAAAAAATGAATTTTATTTGCTTGTGACTCCGAAAAGCATCACGTAACATTATTTCTAATAACCTTCAACTTATACATTTGTGGTTTTGCAACGATATTATTCAGTACCATTATAAGATAATTTTAGGTAGACAATCGATGCTTTCGTGGTTCTAAGGGATTGTAGGGTTGATGTACATTCAATTAGTTTTCGTAGGAATGGATTTAGGACACGAGAAGATGGTAATGTCCTTAAATGAAAAGAATAAAAATGTGCACTGG